CTGCCGGCGCTCCGCCACGTCTCGCCATTTGCCGGCACGCAGAAGTCCCTGGGTTGTTTTGCTTGTTTGGTTTTCTTTCTTTTTTCTTTTTTTTTTTTTTTTTTTTGAAGCTGCAGGGGAGCTTTGAGGGGCCGCATTTGCATTTGCAAATCGATGCATTTGCATCGCTGGTCCTCGTCAAAAGTTGGGAGAGTTTGGCTGCCTCTCAAAACGTTATTGTGTTTAGCACCGCTTCACAGCGAAATGAGGTGGGGCTTGGGAGGAGCTCTTAGAATCCCAGAATTTACGTTAACCTGCTTCCGAAACCTAATCGCTCAGGAAAGAGAAAGGTGTTCCCCTTCCTAAATCGTATGTGGCATCACAAAAGAGCTTTTTTGCGTTGAACCCTAACGGAGTGCAGAGGAAACCCCTCTGAGCGTGCATGCCTGCGTGCAGGTGGCTGTGTTTGTGTTACCAGCGAGTTCTCTTAGTATTTGGAAAAAGCCTCAAAATCAAAGTATTTTTGCCTGCAGTACAAATTAGATCACTGTATGGATTAACCAAAGTTTGTGTTGCTATAACGTAACTTTTGTTGCTTCTCCATGCAAAACTTCCCAGCGTAACTGCCGCTACCCGCAGAAAATAAACAATTATTTTAAATTATTTGGTCAAAACGTCAAAGGCATTTCACCGACAATGGCAAGAAAAGCAGAAGGGGACAAGTAGGGTTGACCAGGGTGCTGCCCTGCTGAGTCCACCTGGCTCTGGGGTAAGCCTGCAGACGTGCCCGTCAGAAGCTGGAAAGTTCCACCCAGACCTCATGAAGCTGCAACCCATGAGGGAATCTGCTGCCAAGCGCTAAAAAAGCCCTTCAAGAAAAAAGGCAAAATTCATCTTCTTTTGTGGGAAGGAATGACTTCTGTTAAAAGAACCAGAGAGGAGAAAAATTCTGCTTAAAAGTGTAAGGAATTAAATGAAGAAAAATGTTGCAAATGTTTTTGCAAGAAAAAAATGACCTCCGCTGAAACCGTCAGAAATTAGATCTGAAGGGAGAATGAAGGATATCCTTAAATTCCTTCAGTTTGTAAATAGTGAAGGATGTTGATAATCCAAAAACTGAAAGATGTAAGAGTAGTTGTCCAGTAAAAACTGTACAAGTGACCCCTTTTCTAACGGTATCAGCCACACCTACTCATAGTTTTAGTCGGGTTTTATAATGTTACGTAATTGATTGTAATCAAATCTGTCAAAACGGCATCGGCCTCAAAGACAGTAAGGTTCCAATAGTGCTGTGAGGATCACAGCTGTAGGTGCAGAAGACACCCCGCTGAGAGTGACCGAGAGCTTTAGTCATCGTTTGACCCAGCGAGCGTGTATTGGCATTATCTGGCTTGTCAGCCCACAGGCTTACCACAGATTTAATCAGCGCGTGCCTGAAGTCCCAATGCACGCAGCAAATGATGTTCTCGCTCATCCTACAGGCCAACAGAGACAGGTAAGCAAACGGTGAGACATGCCGCTCCTAACGGTGGTGATCTCGCAGGATGGATAAGGGGAGGGAAGAGGTGGCCAAAGGTCTGTGTGAAGATGCTGGCAGCCGATCTGCAAGTGTGGTGTGGACTTGGAGGGATCAGGGCTACTGTGTTACAGGGGTATAAAGGATGTGCGAGAAACTTGGGCTGGTTGCAGCGAAGGCATCACCGGGGGCTGCGGGAAAGAAATGCATTGAGAACAGCAATTAACTCCCATTTATGGCCCATGGAACACTGTGTTAACTGATACAAGCACTTCTGTGGCTACACTTTTATAGAAGTCCCTCTGCATGGTTTCCTCCACAAGCATTCTTGTCTGGCAAATGTAACATTTGCCAAACTTTTCTTTGATCGTGTTTCTTTCCTCTGGACTAAATGTTATGCTTGTTCTATAAAATAAAACCCTCTTGTGGATCTCATGGGAACAGAGTCTGCATTGAGAAGGGTCCTGAGTCGGGGGTCTCCTTCAATGACCTATCTTTAATCTTTTATTAGGCAAAACCTTACATTTTCTGCTACCTCAAAAATTCAGATTTGTCCTAGATGAGATCTTTAGCTGTTGATTTTAATCTCACTTGTAGAGTATGACAAGAACTGAACTTAAGCTACCCAGGGTATCAGCCACATATCTTTGGGCACCACGCCACATGCAGATGCAGTACGAGCTCTTTTTTTCCCCAAATGACTCGGTGACTCAAGGTTTTCAAAACTGTGAAATAGTATTTTTGAAATCTTTGAAAAAGACCAAAGATCATTAGTTGTGGAAATAATGCCATCCAATAAAGAATTTTCTGTAAACTTAGTAGTAGGTATTTCAGTGGAATGCTACATCTCCAGTTTGGAGAAGGACATAGGGTATATGGCATCTTGAGTAACGTTATTATGTTGAGGTGACAAACAGACATATTATTTTTCCTGTCTGGGAAGAGGCAATGATATCAGGCGGAAAACCTGATACCTCATCTGTTTTCCTAGCACGGCATAAACAGTTTCCCCTCAGAAATAAAATCCATACCCATAGGTTCTTAGTGCTACTAAAAAATTACTGCTGAAGCGCCCCTGGATGTAGTTTATCTCAACACAGCGTCATAGAAATAGCGGAATTTCTGAGCAAACAGAATCAGAACACAAGTCATTTGGGTCTGGTTCTGTTAGCGTCGCTATTTGCTGAGCAGGAGCAGATTTTAAAGCCCTGCAGGTTAGTTTCCTATTCACATAGGCATCAGTGATCTCAAGCAAAATCATTCCCTAACACGGCTTGTAGAAGATATACAGGAGCGCTGTTTTCTTGGATGCAGATACAATTCTTCAAGTCTCACAGTTTAAACACAGGCCTTTTGCCCGATAGATCTTTTAGATGAAAGCTGTTTGCCTGATGCAACGTGGCCTCGAAAGGTGAACGACAGCAGCGACCCTTTCCTGCATGCAGGTGTGACACAAAGGAACTTTTGAAAGGGAGATTTGACTTCCTGGGCAGTGTTTTGCATACAAAATCCAGCCGGTGTTTGTGTGGGCACAAGAGGAAGTTCCGCCTCGAGTGTTTAGACATCAGTGAGTTGCGATCCCCGTGACACTCAGTATTTTCTGTAAGAGTGTTAAGATAGTTGTGTTACATCCAGCGTTCCGTGTTCCTATTTTCCCATGTCTTATTCAGCTGCACCCTATTTTAAACCTTGGAGCCCAATCCTAGCGCACACTAAGTAAGAATTCTGCGGCACAGAGTCATGGAAATATGCCCTGGCAGTGGTGACTTACCATCATGATTGTACAATTCAGCAAAGCAGAGCGACTTTACTGTGGCCCAGGTGGCTGGTAAAAGCGTGGTGTCAGCAGGACAGAGTTTGAAGCAGGCTTCAAAAGTCGTCCCAGTGACTGGTGGATGTTCAAGCAATTGGTTCATGCTGAATTCCGTGCCACTACTGCTACACTGTTAGTGGTACCCAACCTCGTCTGGGTACATGCACGGGAGATGGAAATGATGTCTTTGCTCTGTCGAGGTACGGCTTTGACTCTGCGTTAAATGACAGCCGTATCCCCGGGTATATTTACAGGACTGTTCAGTGTCACAGCCATTTATGTCCCACAGATTGTGGGGCAACAGCCCCGGAGTAAAAGGATAGAGGGGATGTTTGATAAAATGAAAAAGGAAGGAGTTAAATCAGTAAGACTGGAAAGGGATTTGAAACGGGAGGGAGAGTGAGTGACAAAGAAAAAGAGGCTAGGTCTTCTAAGGGACAGCAGAAAACAGACAGATAGCATGGCAGAAGTGAGAAGCAGATGTAAAGGGCATTAACCTCAAATACCAGAAAGGAAATGAGAATTAGAAAAAAAAAAAAAAAAAACAGGAACAGAGGTAAAGATAAGAAAAATCAAGTGTGCTACTGGCTGAGAGTGTAAAAAGTTTTATACCGTTGGTGTTTGCTGGTGCGCCAGCCAGCTGGGAAAGTGGTGGAACGGCGACTCTGTACAAGTGTTTCATCGAAGTCCCTGTAGCAGTTACACGTTTAATCAGAGAGGAAGGGTCCATTCAAACACGAGCCTCTGTACTTTCCCGGGTTTCTCACTGATGTAACCCAGCGTTTCACGATAAAGTCCCATGCAAGGAATCAGTTAGAACGCTAGGGGGACCTCACAAAATGTAAGAAGGATGGTCTCATCTTTCACATGCTGCCTGAGCTGCTCCTTGTTCCTCAGTGCTCATCTCCTCAGCTCAGTCTGGATTACAGTTCCCTTGCAAGTATGAGGAGAGCAAGGACCCAAATGTTCATGTGTGTCTCTGATTAATTCAGTGATAAAAATACAACACGCCATAGGTTGGCCACAAGGACCCTGGCAGATAAATACAAGGTATTTCTGAAACAGCGATATCAAGAATAGAAGGGAATAAACTGTCACTCCGTAATTGTCCCAGGCTCGTACTGTGAGTGTGCGAGAATGAGAAAGAAGATGAGGCACCCAAGTTTCCATACGATATCATTGAATTCTGCATGCATAACCATTAATAAGTAGGATGCTGGGGAGGAATTCTGCATGCATAACCATTAATAAGTAGGATGCTGGGGAGGAGGGTGTGTAAACCTTAAAACATCCAGTCAGAGTTGTTGTCAGGTCATTAACCTAACTTGTACGACTAGCAGAAAGTTCCTTCTTTGAGTCAAAATGCGTAGCAGCTATAAGATCCTTCTGCACGTATTCAGACTTAAACTGGTGTTCAGATTTGTGGCAGAGAAGGAATTTCCCCCCTGTGAAATCAGCACAGACCTCCGTCTCCTACCTTACTGTGCCCCGTAGCTCCATCAGCTATGATCTCCTGGGCATGTTTTACACAAAGAGCAGCTTTCTCTCGGAGCAGGGGCCTCAGGCCTTGGAGACACCTGGACTGAAGTTAAGAACATTGTATTTTTTGAAAGATTTCACCTTTTAATGTGGGTTTGTTTTTTTTCTCCAGCTGATCCGTAACAGTCGAACGCTTTGGCAGATTTCCTAGTACGGGGTACGTATGAGAGACGTGCAGGCACAGGGACTACGGCCACATCTGCTGGTACAGCTGGGCTGTCGCTGGTCATTTCTGCGGCTACAGGGAGAAGGGCGAGCAAAGCTGAGGTGGGGGGGCAGTGGGGCAGGCATATGCGGACTGGTCAGAGTGCGGCAGCCATGGTCCAGTTTATAGACATGAAGATTATCTGAAGGTGCTGCTGAGGCTGGAGGAAGGAAAGTGAATGCACGAGGGGCAGACCCTGATCAGCCCTCAGGGCATGAGGAGGGAGAATTCTGTGTCAGAAGTGAGCCCAACCACACCGGTAAGCCGAGGAGACTTTATCACAGCCCCTTCCAGACCACTGTTCTAAAAGTAAAGCAGAATAGAGGGGAGGGTCGGTCAGGCCAGCTCTGTGCCATTTATCATAGACTTGCCGGGCCTGAGTTACCAGGTTCTCAGGGTAAAACTTTCAAGCGGTGCATCCCCATGCAGGACTGTCTATTGCTCATGCGCAAGATTGTTTCTTTCCTCCAGTATTTCCTCTCGCTCCCTGGGAGAGTTTTCTTCTTGTGGCTGTGGAAGCTGATGTGGCACCAGTACAGAGCCCAGAGCTTTGGGCTGGCAGCTCCAAGCCGGCCCAGAAGTCTCTTGCTGCTGAAGCAAGCCGTGGGTTGGCGCCGTGTCACCCACCGCCAACCTCTGATGATTTGCTGCCCCTCGGTGGCTACCGCAGACACTGCCCGAGGTCCCTTCCCAACTGCTCGCTCTTCACTGGGCCCCCCGGCGCCGGAGGCTGGCCCGAGCACCCCTGCGTGCCACCCTCTGGATGTATTATTCCTTGCGAGCCTAGCGCAAGAAAATTGTTCCTGCTGCAGCAAAGAGCAACCCGGGAGGCGGGGCACTCCCGCGGGGCCTCCTGCCGGGGCCCAGCCAACGCGCCGGTGATGCGCGGCTGTGAAAACCCGTCG